AAAAAAAAAAAAAAAACAAAAAAACCCAGAAAAACTAGCTGGGCATTGTGGCGGGCACCTGTAGTCCCAGCTCCTCAGGAGACTGAGAGGCAGAGGCAGGAGGCTCACTTGAGCCCAGGAGTTTGAGGGTGCTGTGAGCTGATACCACAATACTCTACCTGGGGCATCAGAGTAAGACTCTGTCTCATAAAAAAGAGAGAGAGAGAGAGAGATTACTATTAATTCTGTTAGGAATGATAATGGCATTTAATGTAAAAAATGGTCCTTTTCATTTTTATCACTAAATGACGTGGTATCTGGGATCTGATTTAAAATGCTTCAGCCAGAAGGAACAGAAGGAGAAGGGAGAAAAGAAGCTCAAGTGACACATGCAGATGGTCACTGAAGCTGGGGAGGGCCCCAGGGGCTCTCCATGCTCCACCTGGACAATGTTTAGACATTTCAAAATCTAAAAATAGAAAAAAACTAGTAGAAAGGGGGTGAATTAAGTAGGAATTTACAGCTTTTAAAAATTAGGGAGAATGGCTTGGCATCTGTAGTACAGTGGTTACAGTGCCGGCCACATACACCTAAGTTGGTGGGTTCAAACCTGGCCCAGGCCAGCTGGACAACAATGACAACTGCAACAACGACAAAAACAACAACAACAAAAAATAGCCAGGCGTTATGGCGAGTGCCTGGAATCCCAGCTACTTGGGAGCCTGAGGCAAGAGAATTGCTTAAGCCCAAGAGTTTGAGGTTGCTGTGAGATGTGACACCACAGCACTGTACTAAGGGCGACAGTGAAACTCTGTCTCAAAAAAAAAAAAAAAATTAGGGAGAAAACTTTTAAATTCTGTCTTAAATATTTAAAAGGACAGACTTCACACATTTTCAGCCTACTATTTACCACTTTTACAAAGCAGGTGTTTTCCTTTACACACAGCAGGAAGGGGCCATGCTGTGGAGCCCAGATACCTACTAGCAGCTGAGGCCCCATGTATAAAGCCCCTGCCCCAGCACATAGGCCTGCACCCTTCAGCAGGGTACTGTGGGCAGAGACCTGACCAAGCCCTGCATGCAGCCACCCAGGTGAGATCCCCATAGCCAGGCTCTGACTAGAAAGTGGCCAAGTCTGAGTAAGCTGCCATGTCTACAGTAACACCCTTCCATGTACACAGGGCCCAGGTCTCCTGACTGGTGCTGTGCTGACTGGCGCTATGCTGCCTGGGCATAGCCACACTGGCTGGGGTCAGCCACCTCACTGTGGCAAGGATGAGGCTCAGTGGGGGATGATGGGTAGGTTGTGGGAAACAAGAAGTCAAAACCCCAGCTGCTGAAGGGCCCTTGAGGTCACAGTCCCCACCCTACACATTCCAGATAGGGGATCCCTTCCACACGACCTCACTGTACCTCGGCTCCCTTCGCAGCCCCTAGCCTCCGGCTCTCGTGTGTGCAGCACCTCAGGGCTGCTGGAGAAAACACAGGTCGGGTGCAGCACGGTGCCCTGCTTGGCCTGGGTGTGGAAGATCTGAAGAGGCCAAAGGTGTAACAGAGGCCGAACATGAAGCAGAGGCCCTCTGATCTGCCCTTCCCACAGGATGCTCTTCCTCCACCTTCCACGTCTCAACCCAGAAGACCCCTCCTGCAGAAAGGCCTCCCTGAGCCTCTCCCAGGCTGGGTCAGGTGCCCCTCTCAGGTTCCCACAGTCTCCTGGACTCCCCCATACCAGCCCTGCTCACTCTGGTTCTCTGTTTGGGGTTGGGTCTGTCAGAGGCAAAGCCAGGATTACTCCAGTCACCACTGTGTCCCCAACACAAGGCAGGCACTCAGGGAATGTGAGCCAACAAAACAAACATGGACCTGGTCAGAGTCTTTGCGGCCACTGTTGAACGCGTCCGGGATGGCCAGCTGGGGGTAGAGGCCCCGGCCCAGCACCAGCCTGAGCAGGGCCATCTGGTCACGGGTCAGGTCCTGGGCTGAGCTGGCAGCCTCCTGTAGCTGCTCCAGGTTGTGCCGAAGCTTAAACTTCACATCCTGGTGAGAATGCAGGGGAGGCAGGTTCCTAAGGGACCCTCCCCAGTACCTAGAGGGCTTATACTGCAACATGCAGACCCAGGGGTTCCATAGACCTGGACTGTCTTGTCCCCAGAAACCTGGTTCTGAGGTGAGGCCAGGCTGTGTCTTTCCAACCCCAGGGCAGGGCTATGTGCTCATCATCCAGGGCAGGCCAAGGCCTAAACTCTACCCACCTGCCCCAGCCCCAGACAGCCCAAGGGAGCGCACCTGGATGTCCACACTGTCCGCAGAACTCCGGGAAGCTGGGCCGGCCCCATCCTCATCGCTAGAGCAGCCAGCCTGCTCCTCCTGCAGCCGCAGCACCTTGCGCCTGCGCCCCTCACCCTCCTCATGCTGGCGCTTCAGCTGGTACAGCGCCCGGCGCTCACGGCGTTGCTGCAACCGACTGTAGCTGTCCTCTGCCTTTGTGGCCTGGGCCCCAGCCAGCAGCCCATGATCTTCCAATAGCTCCTGGGGGAGGGTGGGCACAAGTGAGGGGTGTGAGGCAGAATGAGTGGGCTCAGGCTCTGGTTCCTAGACCTGAGGGAGGCCCTTCCTCGCTGTCCTGGGCACCACACAGCCCCACAGGTCTTCTATACTAGCACTGATGAGTGTGGCCTGGCAGTAGCAGCATCTGGGACATCCAGGGACTTGGTGGAAATTCCAAGTCCCAAATCCAAATAAGAAACTGAGTCAGAATTTGGGGCTGGGAATCTAGATCCAACAGACCCTCCAACCAACTCAAATACACACTAAACTCAAGACCCCTGCCCTCCACTCTACCCACACCCTTGTAAATAGTCTTCAAATGACCTGACTTGATCAGCCACTCAGTCTCCTGCAGCCCTGACAGAGTGCCTGCATGAGTGTACGTCAGAGTGTGCCTGCGAAAGGGTCCATGATTCTCTTAGACTCCAAAGTGTCTGGGGAGGTGAGAGGCTGAACACTGCTCTAGCAGCTAGAGATGTCACTCAAGAGGAATGCTGAGAGCACCAGTCGTCCCCAACACAAGAACCCCCAAAATTGCATGGGAGGCCTTGGCTGGGTGACCAGTCACCCGCTCTGGGCCTTAATTTGTCTATCTGCAACCAAAGGGAACAGATTATGCAGGGACTCTTATTTTATTTTCATTCCATGAATTCTACCCGATCCCTGAGCTGTAAGCAACTGCAGGTCTTTTGTCCTCAGGCAGTAACACATCTGTAGGATATTAATGAAGCAAGCAGTATAAGAACCCAAATCTTTCATATTTAAAAGAAAATTCTCTCTGCCCACTCACCTATATACTGTAATCACTGCAGGCACTTGCACAGACCCACCTGCAGGCTCCATCTGTTGAGTGTGCCACGCAGATTGACACATTTAACCCACACGGGGAAATTGTGAGGCAGGTGCTATTCTCATCTTCTCAGTTTTCAAAAGGGGAACTGAGACCCAGAAGCAAGCAGTAATATGCCTGGGACACACTGTTAGCAAGGATCTGCCACTAGGACGTGCCGCTCGGCCCCAACCACCAAGTGTGTGCTGTCAGTCAGCACCCCAGTCCTGAGGGTAAGGTTCTTCTTGAGGATGTGGCATGTCCCTGCTGACCCTGTCCATCCTGTCCGGGAAGCCCACCTGGATTTCTAACCCCCTGCCCAGGCTCCTCCCAGTCCAGTCATCTGCTGATGGAGGGGGTGGATGTGGCATGGCGGGGCGGGGTGAAGGACTCTAGCCTGATCGCTGTCAGGAAAGGAGAGACAGAGTACCCCAGGGGGGGCTGACAAAAAGCCTGTCTGGGCAGGGTTGGCCCCACCCCTCCCCCCAGCCTCACCTTGAACTGGCGCCGCAGGTTGGCCATCTCGTAGAGCCGGTGCTCCTCTATGCCTCGGCGACGGCACCACTTGCGTGAGTTTCTGCTCCGTTCAGATTTCACCTGGGTGGAGGTGCAGACACCAGGGTGTCAGGGCCTGGCTAGCCTGGCGAGGGGTTAGGGGAAGGGGTTGACCATGCAGGCCACCCAGCATGGGCCAAATATCACCCCTGGGAGAATGCAAAGAAGTGGGAGACATGTTGCCCTCCCTCAGAGGCACGTTCCAGGCCTCTGCCCCAATACTCCTCTCCTCCAGGAAGCCCTCCCAGACCACCTGTAACAGATCAGGCGGCCCCTCTGGGCCTGCCCAGCTGCTTGAACTCTTCATTCCAGCCCTCTCTGCCACTGTTACATCAGAAGTCTATCTCTCTGCACTGGGCTGTGACCCCTGGGAGGGCAGGACGAGGGTAGTTTTAGTCACCTAATGGGACCCCAGTATCCTAGTACTGCCAGGGCCAGGGCCAGAGCAGGGGCCCAGGAGACACAGATGCTGGAGTCTGGACTTTCTTCTGATGGCACTGGTTTTTTGTTTTTTTTAAGAGACGGAGTCTCACTTTGTCACCCTCGGGAGAATGCCGTGGCATCACAGCTCACAGCAACCTCCAGCTCTTGGGCTTAGGTGATTCTCTTGCCTCACCCTCCAGACTAACTAGGACTACAGGTGCCCACTGCAATGCCCGGCTGTTTTTTTATTGCAGTTTGACCAGGGCCAGGTTTGAACCCACCACCCTTGGTATATGGGGCTGGCACTCTGCTCACTGAACCACAGGCACTGCCCCCGATGGCACTGGTTTTAATCAGTGCTCTAGAAATCCCAGGCCCCTCTCAACCCTGGATATAGGCACCACAGCCCAGAGGCATGAATAGTGGAGGCTCAGGCCTCAGGTCACAGTTGCAGGAGGCCTGACCCTGTGCTGAGCAACAGGCAGGTGGAAGGGCCCCAGGTTCAGCCTTACCTGCACCCAGCTATTGAAGACGTTGAAGAGTGTGAAGGGGTCACCCTGGTCACTCTCCAGTGGCCGCCGTGCTGCCACGCACTCCGGGCTGCTCTGGGCACTGCGGGTAAAGGGCGACTGGACGCTGAGGGCAGCTGCGATGGTTAGCACAGGCTCCGCCAGGCTGAACATGGAGCCCAGGATCAGCATCTTCCCTGGGGCAGCAGACATGGGCTGAGCCTCCTGGGCACCAGGACAATGACACCCCTCTCTCCTGGGGGGTCTCAGAGCCCCACACCCAGTCCTGCCCCACTTCCCTCCATCTTGCCCTCTAAGGGTCTTAGGACTCAGATGGGCAGATTCAAATCCACACACGCTGTGCTTTCCAGTCACACAACCTCCAGTAAGGGGCTCAGCTTCCCACTGTTTAAGTGCTGGCTACTGCTGTCACCAACATGCCTGCTCTTCTATTGACAACCCACTCCCCTAGCACTCCCAACCCCCTGCTCCATTTTCCTTCCTGACACCTGTCTGTCCTGCCATAGTGTACATTTTTTCTTCCTCTAGAGCATGGCCACCTGAGTGACCTGGTCTGCTCTGGCACACAGTAGCTGCTGACTTTTGTGCCTATGGCAGGACAGGTCTTCTCCTGCCATCTTTATTTCAGGCTGGAGGTGAAAGAAGGGGAGAGGGAGAAAGGCAAGGGTGGGGGTGAAAGGAGAGGCAGGGAAAGAAGGACATAAGGTACAGGGGAGGACACAAAGAAAGAAAGTGATGGGAACAGTATTCCAATATGGCCAAAGAGCTAGTGAAAAACTGTCCCCACCTGTAAGCACTCAACAGTAGGACTCTCACCCATCCCACTGGGAACCCGAGCAGACACTGTACCTCCTGCAAGACTCAGGCCCTGCCCACCTGCCCTGTGGCCAGTGGCCTGCAAGTCACACATCTGACCTCACCATTCTGCCTGACTTTACACAGTGCCTGTCACACAGCTGGCCTCATAAGATAAGGGTGGACAGTAAATTAAAGCCCAGGTCCAGACGCACTAGCCTGTATCCCTCACCTTGCTGCACCTCTGCTTACTGTCTGTAAAATGGGGTAACAGCAGCACCTGCCTCTCCACTCGTGGCTGTTGTGAAGATTAACCATGTTTCACCCTGTGATGCCCTTGGAACACCACCTAGCACAGAGGATACCCTGGCACAGGGTCTGTGCCCCTGCCCCCCACCCTACCCCTGCTTGACCCTGAGCAGCTACTCCCTGACCCTCACTTTCCTCTCAGGTGCTTTCTCCCAGCCCTTGGGGAGGCACATAGCATCACAGTGTGGCTGGCTGGCTCCATGCCCTCAGGCTTGTGTCTCCTCCCTAGCCCAGCTTCAGTCTCCTCCTCTGTGGATGGGCAGAGGTCAGAGGCCCTGACATCAGTAGGTGAGAAGGAGACAGTGTGAAGTCCAGGGAGCCTTTCACTGGCACGGCAAGTGCTCACTGAAGGTTCCTTCGTGTCTCAGCTCTGATTCTCCTTGCTTTGGCCCTCTCTCCTTCTTTTTTTTTTTTTTTTTGCAGTTTTTGGCCGGGGCTGGGTTTGAACCCGCCACCTCCGGCATATGGGGCCAGCATCCTACTGCTTTGAGCCATAGGTGCTGCCCCCTCTCCTTCTATAACAAACAAAAATGAACATCTTCCTAGCCCCCAGGCCCTTGGCACCCATTGTATCCAGCCTCCTGCCCACACTGAAGCCCCAGTATTCCAATGACAGGTGGTAACACAGACAGTAGTACCCACTATTATGGGTGGCCCTGCTGAGTAGGGAACACTGTGCCGGCTGGCTGTGGGCTACTGGGGGCAATAGAACATACTGAGTCAGGAGAATGAGGCAAGATAAACAGCCTCAGTCAGCCAGCTCCTTGGGAGGGATAGGAATGACTCAGAATGAGCAAGAGGAAGAGTTTTGACATCCCCCAGCCCACAAGAGATGGGGGCCAGGACAGAGCTGAGGTGGCTGTGCAGACAGAAGTGGGAAGGGTGAGCTATGGAAAACCTAGGACTCCTGTACTTGGGAGGGAAGGGTCTTGGGTACCCCGCCTGCTTCTCCTTCCCATAGGAGGCCTGTCAATATGCCAAATGCTGCAGAACCCAAGCAGGGGAGCCTGTCTTCTCAGCTGCCCATGCCCAATCAGGGAGCTTCCTGCCATGTGCTCTAACACAGCCGCACAGGGCAGACCCTGCAGGCCACACCCAGTCTCTAGTGGTGGCTTCTGCAGTTTCAGCTAAGCGCTCTAAAACGCTAACATATCATAGGGCAAGAACAACATATCAAAGGCAAGAACAACCAGCTCAGAATGTCTACTGGCCCCAAATCCCTCAGGATTAACCTGCCATTCCTAATGACACACACCAGGAGATGAGCAACACTGCATCTGGTTGTGACCGGCCATCACAGACCTGAACTTGGGAGGCTGGGAACTGACAATGGTCTCTAGCAGGCTCCACGGACCTGGCCTGTGCAGACTCTCACTGATCCAGACTGATTCCTTAATTTTCTGTCCACCTTCAATCACAAAGACCCAGTCTTTCATCTGATTCAAAGCTCCTCACCTTGAAACAAATCCTAAATGCCCACCAACCCAGGAATGGATTAACAAGCTGTGGTATATGTATACCATGGAATACTATTCAGACACTAAAAAAGATGATGACTTTACATCTTTTGTATTAACCTGGATGGAACTAAGACACATTCTTCTTAGTAAAGCATCACAAGAATGGAGAAGCAAGAATCCAATTACTCAATTCTGTTATGAGGACCATTGGTGTTAGTACATGGTGGGGGTGGGGAATGGGGAAGTGGAGAGAGGGAAGAAGAAAGGGGTAGGGGGATCAGGATGTGTGACACACCTCTTGGGAGGCACGGCAAAATTATAAGAGGAAGTTTACCTAACAAATGCAAGCAGCGGGTGGTGCTTGTGGCTCAGTGATTAGGGCGCTGGCCCCATATACTGAGGGTGGCAGGTTCAAACCCAGCCCCTGCCAAACTGTAACAAAAAAAATAGCTGGGCATTGTGGCAGGTGCCTGTAGTTTCAACTGCTCAGGAAGCTAAGGAGAGAGAATCACCTAGCCCAGGAGTTGGAGGTTGCTGTGAGCTGTGATGCCATAGCACTCCACCAAGGGCAATAGAGTGAGACTCTGTTTCCAAAAAAAAAAAAAAAAACCAAATGCAAGCAGGGTAACCTGGTTCTTTGTACTCTCAATGATTTCCCAACAATTAAAAAAAAAAAAAAAA